CTAACAAGATGAATAACATCAAATTATTTTAGGCACAGACAACACCCCCCACACTTTTGAAAATCTTGCAACGCGCCTGGTCGCTCGTGTACAGTACGTCAAAGTTATCTTTCATAAGAAGATAATCAATAAAACGGTTTATATAAAGTGGATCCAGAAGTTGTAGCCCGTCTCTGCCTACAATATTTTGATATTTTTCACACTGTTGGTGGTTTTACTGAGCAGGTGCCACTTTTGTCATACGTTTCTTTTAAAAACATGTTTAGACTGTTCAGAATACAAATCCAGGCTCTCAGAACCAGAGCGCATGTGAGAAGGTTCCTCCCACTGAAGCGAGTGTTTTCCAAACCCGGTCTCTCAGAGAGACTTGTCACTTAGAAAATGTTCCCTGATTATGAAACTTTGGCTGAATAGTGCTTGTTCCTGTCTCCAATGTGGCGACGCATCCAGGAACCTGTCTGAGGAGAATGCCAGAATCTGACATCCTCCAGGTCAGGAAGCGCATATGATTACGCACAAGCGTGACGCGTCAACCCGGTCTCACAGTAAGACCGGGTCGGAACTGTTCAGGTTTAGGCAGATAATCTTTACATTTAGAATTAGCATACAGATGTAAAATTAATGCAGTAAAATATAAAGCTTTTTTATTTAAATATCAATTCATTATTTTAAGAGCACAGAGAGCCGCATCAGATGGATGGAAGAGCCGCATGCGGCTACAGAGCCGCCGACCCCTGTGCTAGCCTATATTGTCCCCAACAATTTTTAAACCCCACTCAAGTGTATGGTTAGTGTCCCCAGCAATTCTGAAAACAAACTGACGCCCTTGCTCAGTTATATTTATCCATTTACCCTGATGAACCTAATCGGTTAGGTAGATTACAGGCTTGTCTTGAGGACATAAAAAATTGGATGACCCTAAACTTCTTGCTTTTAAATCAAGACAAGACGGAAGTTCTCATCTTTGGACCAGAAATCCAGAAAAGGAAATTGCTTAGTCAATCACCTGACCTGAATGGCATTACATTAATCTCCGAGAACAAAGTAAGGAACCTTGGTGTTATCTTTGACCAGGACATGTCATTCAAATCCCAGGTTAAACAGGTTTGCAAGATTTCCTTTTTCCACCTTCGGAATGTTTCTAAGATTAGAAGCATCCTTTCCAGGAGTGATGCTGAAAAACTAGTTCATGCATTTATTACATCAAGACTGGATTACTGTAATTCATTACTCTCAGGAAGTCCACAGAATGTAGTTAAAAGTCTTCAGCTTGTCCAAAATGCTGCAGCTAGAGTTCTGATGAGAATTAAAAAGAGAGATCATATCTCTCCTGTCTTAGCTTCCCTACATTGGCTACCTGTTAAATTCAGAATAGATTTTAACCCTTTGATGCATGAATTATGAAATCTTCAACCATGATTTTTTTTTACAATTTTTTTCATTCGTCTTTAGGTGTGAATGAAACAAATTTCAACAAATATTTTTTGTAAAATTTTATAATTTGCAAATAATTTATTACATGTCCACCTCAGTGGACAGTGTGCATTCTGAGCATGAAATATGTTGGCTTGGCTTACTGAAGTACAAATGGCGGGGCTCACATGCAATAAAGTCTTCAACAGCTGTGCTTAATAGCAAAAACAAATAAATAACTATTTTGAGTACCTGTCCACTGTAGTGACCATTATGCATCAAAGGGTTAAGATCCTTCTTCTCACATATAAAGCTCTTAATAATCAAGCTCCATCATACATCAGTGATCTGATTGTTCCATACATTCCTAACCGAGCACTTCGCTCTCGGACTGCAGGTTTACTGGTGGTTCCCAGAATATCTAAAATTAGGATGGGAGGCAGATCTTTTAGTTATCAGGCTCCTCTCCTGTGGAACCAGCTCCCAGCTTTAGTCCGTGAGGCAGACACTTTGTCTACTTTTAAGACTAGGCTTAAAACATTTTTATTTGATAGGGCCTATGGTTAAAATCTGATGTTAGCCTAGATCTGGACAAGTGGGGGAGTAGAGGGAGGTGGAGTGTACAGTCGGTAAAGACGACTCTCCCTTGCCCTGCCTCCAACATGCCTCCATCTAAAAAGGATAGGTTATCCAGAGTCATCTCTGTAGTTATGCTGCTATAGGCTTAGACTGCTGGAGGATACACTGACCACTTTTCACACTCTACTACTTTCTTCTACAATCTGCTCTTTAACTGTATTATTTCCTGCTATTTCAGCTGTTAACTTTATTTTCTCTCTAAGTGTTTTTCTCCACAGAAGAAGCTACATTGATGTTCTGCTGAGCTGTGGTGGCCTCATGGAGGGGGCTATCGTCTAGCACACTGCTGCTAACCACTTAAACATTATCCCTCTCCTGATAATAACTTTTTGCTTTCCTTGACGTTGGATGTGCTACTACTAGTTTATCCGTTTAATTATAGATCCACTAGGATAAATACAATAAAGTTTATCTCGCACCAAATAGAATATTTACTAAGAAATTACAATATAACTATAGACACATTACTTTGTCTTAGTCTGTCTGTGTGTGTGTGCGCGTGCGTGCGTGCGTGCGTGTGTGTGTGTGTGTGTGTGTGTGTGTGTGTGTGTGTGTGCTCTGTCTTCTCGATCCCCAGTGAGTCGTGGAGGATGGCTGCTTATACTGAGCCAGGAGCCTCTGGAGGTTTCTTCCTGTTAAAAGGGAGTTTTCCTCTCCACTGTCGCTAAATGCTAGCTTAGTATGAGGATTGCTGTACAGTCCCTGACACTAGTCAGTGACTTGATGTAATTTGCTGGGTTCCTTTTATAGGAAACATTATTTCTGATTGGCTTAATGAACTGACCTGATTTGGAATGTTTATTATGTGAAGTACCTTGAGACGACTCGTCGTGATTTGGCGCTGTATAAATAAAATTGAATTGAATTTAATGATATTACATTTTATCATATTATATTATATTATATTATATTATATTATATTATAATCTAGTCTATTCTATTCCATCCTAGTGAATTTCAGAACAAATAAAATGGACTTCCTTTAAGGCAGGTTAAACTGACTTTATTGTGAAAGCTTCCTGTTTCCCACTCAGATTTTACCACAGGAAACAGCCAATTAAAGCCGATAGCGATGATGTAAGCAACATTTTTCTATCAGGACAACATACGGACTTTGCACGACTTCCTGTTTCCTAGAAGACTTTTATAAACTCTGTTGAGAAATAACTTTTAAAAAATTGACTTTGCAAGCGAGTCATGGGAATTATGTCTACATATGATTCTGCATATATAAAAGTAATCATAAAAAACGCCTTAAAATTAAGGATTTTCATTCCACCACACCAGAAAACCTTCCAAATGTAAAAAACATCTTACACAGAAGACGAAACAGTTGTTTAACTGGACCTCGTTTTAAAAATGCATGGTTTTCAATTACAAAATCCTGTAGTTTGTGTTCTTTAGCAACGGGACTGCCAAAGCCTCCAACCTGCTCTGGGCCCAGCTGGGCTCAATGGACAAAAGCCCGACCACCAGGTGCTTGCATGTGGGCCTAAACCTTTTGTAGCGTTTAGAAACATAAACAGCTATAATTTCATGTTTTATTATATCTTCAAAAGGCTATAGTAACTTATGGGATTTGAGTTTAATGTACAGGAACTCCTCTGCATGATCTGCTGCAGAACCAAACACGGAATCAAATAACAGAACAACTGTATTCATCATATTACTGTACATCAAACACAACCCCACACTTAGATGAATTATTTTCAAGTTTTAACCAACAAGAAGCTTTTAACTGAGTTGAATATTTTGCTGACACATACAGTATCTATTTTTAGAGAATACAGATGGCTCTGCCTTGCTCTGCCTCCAACATGCCTCCATCCTGTTGAATTAATTATAGATTCACCAAGATAAATACAATAAAGTTCATATCTTACTAAACAGAATATTTACTAAGAAATCACAATGTAGCCATAGAAACACTACTTGGTATATATGTTGTGTGGATGTGTGTGTGGGTGGATTGGGTTGGTGGTGTGTGCGCTTGTGTGTGTGCGTGTGTGCGTGTGTGCGTGTGTGTGTGTGTGTGTGTGTGTGTGTGTGTGTGTGTGTGTGTGTGTGTGTGTGTGTGTGTGTGTGTGTGTGTGTGCGCTTGCGTGCGTGCGTGTGTGTGCTCTGTCTTCTTGATCCCTAGTGAGTCGTGGAGGATGGCTGCTTATGCTGAGCCAGGATCCTCTGGAGGTTTCTTCCTGTCAAAAGGGAGTTTTCCTCTCCACTGTCGCCAAATGCTTGCTTAGTATGAGGATTGCTGTAAAGACTCTGACACAAGTCAGTGACTCGATGCAACCTGCTGGGTTCCTTATATAGGAAACTTTTTACTGATTGGCTTAATGAACTGACCTGTACTGGAATGTTTATTATGTGAAGTGCCTTGAGACGACTCTTGCCGTGATTTGGCGCTTTATAAATAAACTTGAATTGAAAGCTCTTGCTCACTTTTCTCTGAATCAAATGTTTTCTATTTTCACAGGTTGAATATTTAGAGTTGCATCATTTTCTCTCATTCTCTTACCCGCAAAGAGCCAAATTTGAAGCACAACAGCACTGAGGAACAACAAAGAGAATGGTTATGTAATGACCATTTTGTGGCAACCTGAGATTAAGCAAGAGTTCTTGTATCATCATCACCAACTGTGTAAACGGAGGTTAAACGTGTAACTGGGCTTAAAAGAAACAAAGCAGGAGTCCATCTCAGTTAATAAACACAAAATGAGACGATCAGTCATCCAACCTGACTTCTGGCTACCAGGAGGACGTAGGAGACAAGGTACCGGCAGGGTCAACATTTGTCACTTTCAGTTTAAATATATCATTAATTTGATTAGAATATAAAAATCATTTCCACTAAATGCTGTGCGAGTCCTTTTTCTTATGTAGTTTATACATAGTGTCCAGCCGGTATAACTGATGGTTAATGGTTCATAGTGAGATTTGACTCTGACCTGCTGAGTAGGGCTCCTGCTGCTCCAAAAACATGAACTCCTTCCTTTCGTACTTGGCTCGGATCCACTGGTCCCGCAGGAGTCTGTAGGACGGAGGGTTATCCTGGTTTAATGTTTACTTCACACTTCAGCTGATTATCTCAAAACATCTAATTAAGACTTTTCTTGCCCTACGTATTAAACCATAACCATCATCATTTAGTCACTACTGTCCTCATCTGACTGCTGATGTTCTGATTCTTTAGTATTAATTATAGGAATTAATTTATTTTCCAGTATATTAGTGGGTTTTCTGTGGGCACTCTGGTTTCGTGCCACAGTTAATTTAGCTTTATTTTGTGAAACGAGTGTGATTAATAGCTGTCCTGTTTATCAGATTGTAACACCTATGCTGTGTCACGAACAGAACTCAGAAGACCCGTAATGACGCCAAACACAGTAAAGTTCCTTAAAAGTCTTTATTTGGATGAGGAGTTACCCGAGGAGGGCGAGGCAGGAGACAGAGTCGGAGGGCAGGCGTGAGTCAAAACCAGATCGGCACAAGCAGGTAAAGGGAGCAGGCTAGAGACGTGGTAGAAGACAGGCGAGGGTCGTGATGGCAGGCAGCGTACAAGGCAGGGGTCAGGAGCGAAAAACGAGGTCCGGAGGCTGAGATGAGGCAGGGTGGATGGCTGGACGATTTACTTGCAAAGGCTTTCAATAATCTGGCAGTGAACTGGTGGCTGGCTGGTGAATTAATAGCAGGGGAAGCAGGTGTGTGTGATGAGCTGAGGAGTCAGGAGCAGGTGAAGTGGATGAAGCTGATGACAGGAACAGGTGAGATGAATGGAGTAGAAGAGGTGCTGACTGAGGTTGCTAGGGAAAACAGGGCTTGACTGTAGCTTGATGAGGGGACCAGGTGTGCTGAATGAAGGCTGAAAGATGGGAGTTATGACATGCTGACTCACATTAACATCATGCAGGTCGACTCTGAGAGCCTTGCTTCAGTTGGTGTCTAACTACAGTTATCCGGTTGATGTTTTCCTGATTTGACTGGATAATTCTCATTAATGTGGAGTTTTTGCTAACAAAAAACATGATTTCATAGAGCCGTGTCAAGCTGATTTCCCTGGTTGAGGGTCGAAGTCTACTCACTAATCACTGATACAGCAGATGTTTTTCTACAAAAAAAAACTTTAAATGGAGTACATTGTACATTATACAACCAAATGATTTGGGAAAACAAAATGGTCAGGTGTTTCAGTGAAGAACTGAATGAGTGCGTTTCCTGTGGAGAAATGTGACTGGCCAGCACAGAGTAGTAGCATTAACCCAACAGGACACCTTCAGGATGATTTAGAGCAGAGACTTCAGCCAGACCTTCTTGTCCACCGTTAGGAACATTCAGAACAAGCAGATCACTGTTGTGTGATGGAGCTTGATTATTAACCCTCTCAGGCTCAAAATAAGTTTTGATAAAAGGACGAACAACTAAGTCCTTCAGGGGTACTTCTGAGTTAAAAAATGCTCATGAAATATGTATGTGGAGTAACCAGGTAGGTAGGTTTTAACGTTGCAAATCTGCAACGCCTGCCTCCAGAGAGTTAAGAGCTTTATATGTGAGGAGGATCTTAAAATCTATTCTGAATTCAACAGGCAGGTAGCTTTTGACTATTTCTTCTGAAATGCATTAGTGAAACTAAACACTGATGGTGGACAAGGAGGTGATTTTTATGTAACTCATCTGCTTAGATGTAATTAAAGTTAGAAATTATGAAAACTTTGGAGCATGTCCTTTTAATTGAAAGATGAACTGTCAGCGCTAGCGCTAGCGGCATGCCTACCTCTGCCTCATGTTAAAAGTGTTACAGCCTGGAAGGCAGAGTTGCTCAACCGTGGTTTTCTAGCTAAAAGCGCCCGCCAACCTACGTGAACTTTGGATAACTCGGGGTTAGCTCAGTTAGCTTGTAGCTGCATCAGCTCAGAGTCTGATGGGTATTCAGGGTTAGCTCAGTTAGCTTGTATATGCATCAGCTCAGAGTCTGATGGGTATTCAGTGTAAGCTCAGTTAGCTTGTAGCTGCATCAGCTCAGAGTCTGATGGGTATTCAGGGTTAGCTCAGTTAGCTTGTAGCTGCATCAGCTCAGAGTCTGATGGGTATTCAGGGTAAGCTCAGTTAGCTTGTAGCTGCATCAGCTCAGAGTCTGATGGGTATTCAGGGTAAGCTCAGTTAGCTTGTAGCTGCATCAGCTCAGAGTCTGATGGGTATTCATCATCTGCCCCATCCTCAGCCCCCATTAGGCTCCACCTGACGAGACGCATGCCATGATGTCGGTGGTGGGAACCGCTCATTAGGCTTCAGTTTAGCTCTTCAGAGACCTACAAGTGACGTGACTGAGGCATCTTTCTATCTTATATACAGTCTATGGTTGTTTCACCTAGAACCACAGGTGTGACCAAGTCACTGCTCTGCAAGTCACAAGAAAGTAACAAGTCTTTCCAGTCAAGTCTCGAGTAAAGTCCAAGTCAAATACAACCAAGTCCAAGTCGAGTCAAAGTCAATAATGTGGAAGTCCAAGTCAAGTCCAAGTCCTTAACTTTGAATTTTCAAGTCAAAATCAAGTCATCTGTCCAACTTCAATTTAATGACAATGATAATAAATAATCTCCAGAAATAAAGCTTCGTAAAGCTTAATTTATTTGCTCCAACAAGCAGAAAGTGCAACTGAAACTGATTATAAACAAAGTGCTGCTGCATTTAGCCGGACAAGATCACACCCAGGACGAAGAATGATTCATTTTTGTCCATGTCGTGCCACTTTTGTGCTAAAATATCAAATATGCCCAAGTCATCATCAAGTCAACAGATGCAACTCAATTCAAGTCGCAAGCCATTGGCGTTCAAGTCTGAGGCAAGTCGTAAGTCTTAATGGATTTTATCAAGTCAAGTCAAGAGTCATTAAAATAATGACTCGAGTCCAAGTCATGTGACTCGAGTCCACACCTCTGCATAGAACCATAGAAACCAGAACACTCAAAAATATCTGAACTGCCCCTTTAACAACTGTTCTAATTATGCATTCATCTTAAATGTAAGCTTCATCTGCATCATGTCAACATGCAAGTAGAGTCCTGTTCTGAGTGTAACGGGCATGTTGAGATCAAAGACAACAATGAAAATTAAATCACCTAAAACAAACTGTGGTTCATGGAAACTTACTGGCAGTCTTTGTTAGTAGGTCTATAGTAGAAGGCAGGTACCATCTTCTCATATTTGGCTTTGGCAGCATTGTTACCAACCGAGTTGATAAACTGAGAAGAAAAAAACATTTTGGGTTTATTTCAGCCATAGAAACTTCTCATCTCTGTGAGTTTTTGGGTAAATAACTAATAACACACTGCATAACGGTTCTTTTTTAACACACCTTGTTTTTGCTGATGTTTTCTACCATCACTGTAGCCTTCTTCAGAGTGTTGCTGCTGTTGGTGGCATCACCGCCGCTGATGAACAGAGAAGGAACTAGCAGTGGCAAAACTCTGAAGAAGGCTACAGTGATAGGAGAAAACATCAGCAAAAACAAGGTAGGTAACAGCAGTAGCTCAACAGGTTGAGCGGGTTGTCCAGTAATCAGAAGGTTGCAGGTTCGATCCCGGCTTCGGACAGAGAATTCTACTGTTGTGTCCTTGGGCAAGACACTTAACCCACATTGCCTGCTGGTGGTGGTCGGAGGTACCGGTGGCGCCTGTGCTCGGCAGCCTCGCCTCTGTCAGTGCGCCCCAGGGCAGCTGTGGCTACATTGTAGCTCATCACTATCAGTGTGTGAATGTGTGTGTGAATGGATGACTGATACACTGTAGTGTAAAGTGCTTTGGAGTCCTAATGGGCTCGACACACGGGAGGTGACAAACGACCATGATCAGCGAAATTTTTCGCCGTCGTTTTTATTACCTGACACACGGGAGGCGATCCGCGGCAGCGGCCAGCGGCAAAGCCGTCTACGCGTTCTGTTCCATGGCGAAATCGAAACTTCCGTTGTTTTGTTTGGCTGTGTCAGGTTGGAGGTAATTAAGGTTATTTAAGCGGTTCAGAGTTTAAAAAAGTGGTAGATATGGTGCTGTTAGAGTTAAGTGAAATCTTACTTGTGATTTTACTATATAAAACATAATAATAATAATCAACTTCTCCTTCATGTTTGCTCGAAGATGTACGGAGCATCCTGTCCGCTCATTGGTCAGTGAATGAAACCTCCGTTGATTGGTCCTCGTCCGAGCGACAGCGATGAAAAGTTGAAAATGTTTCAACTTTCTGGGATCGCATCGCTGGGTCTCTTGTGCACGACACGTGCACGAGCGCAAAATGTCACATGCACGTTTTTCGCGTTTCGCTTGGTAGGAGGGAGACCCGCGATTATCGCTTTGTTGCGCATGTCTCATTGAAAATGAATGGAGGAGAGCAGTGGCGGAGCTTGATATGTGCAACATGTGCGGCCGAACAGGGCGGCAGTCTGCAGGGGGCGGCATTTAATTTCCTTTTTTTTTTTTTTCCCTAAAAAAGTTTTTTTTTTTAGCATCAACCAATACATATACAAAACATAGAAATTGCATGTTCTTAATAATAATAGTGATGATAATAATAATATCTCTGTAATAAAAGCACAACAAAGTGTAACCCATATTAACTACTCCCTGTCACATGACCCACGTCAGCTGTTGTGAGGTCCCTCTCCTGATTGGCTCCTTCCACGTCGCGGCAAAGCTGGCTGTGGGGGAATACTTCCGGGCTCGACTCCTGCTGTGGCTGTAAGCTTGTTGCTTTAGAACGGCGTTGGAAAACAAAGCGTTTTTCTCCCCTCAATTCATTTATACTCTCATTTTACCTCAGCGGTAAGTGTTCTTAACATCTACCAATAACACCCTTTTACTTGTCAGTGACCAGTCGATGGTTTTCGCTATAAAAAATGACCTTGTTCGGTGGAGTTCCCACCGCGAGCAGAACTCCGGTTCAAAAACGCTGTTTTTGAAACACTTTTATTTTCTTAAGCACTTTAATGGGCTTAACTTGAAACCAAGAGCAATCGAATGTTTATTGTTATGTGTTGCCTTGAATTCGGCTATGCTGTCTGTCAGACAGTTGTTTTCCTTTATTGTTGTTTTTGTATTTGTTTGTAGCAAACGCTACTGGAATGTATAGATTGAGCTACGTAGCCAAGATGATTAATAATTGACCTGTTGTACATTCGTGATATGTTTACCGGTAAACTGAATCGAACTTGATGTGCTAATGAACATTTCTCTGGCCTACAGGTCAGGTTTTTTTCCCCATGTTGAACTGATCTTCTTCATATTGAAGTGGCGAGCTGGTAGGGGGGGGTGTCGGGGGGGGGGGGGGGGGGGGGGTCACAGGCGGATCTCGCACAGGGCGCCATTTAGGCCAGCTCCGCCTCTGGAGGAGAGGCGATGTCGCCTCCCGTGTGTCGAGCCCATTACTCTGAGAGGCGCTATACAAGTGCGGGTCATTTAACACCTTTGCTGTGTTAAAAAAAGAACTGTACTGCAGATGGATAAAACAAGCATATAAAAGATGTCTAATAACACATTTGAGTAATTATGACAAAAAAAACTGTTCAAGGAAACACACAAAGAGTGGTGAGATTGATTACTCTGGAGAAGAAACAGATTGCATAACCACAAAATAAGAAGAAAATAATGGTGGAGGGGTGCATGACAGGCATCAGCTTCATTCGTGTGAACAACCAGCGGAAGAAATTGTGATACAATTATTCTCACTCAACTATTTATTTAAGAAAATGTTTATTTTCACAGTCGTCTTTGTGTTTCCTGCATTCTGTATCACTGTGTCATTTCCTGATTTAGAAGTATTCCTAGTCTGCCAGCTGCTGTTTGGGCCTTTCAAATGGCTGACTTGAGCAGCTGTTAACGGCTTATCCTATTCTACAGATGTTCTGGCAGACAGTGGTGCTCTCAACGAATCAGGCTGGGATGTGCAAGGTAGAATCCAGAAAGAATACTTGTTCCTTCATGTCAACTTTTAAACAAAAGCTTGTCTTGACCGATAACTCACAATTGCCTAATGCAGGATTTTTCTGAATGAAAGCGACCGAACAGACAGCCGGTCTCACCTCTATCTCAGAGGAGCTCCACGGATCCAGCAGCAGGGACTTCACTTTGCTGATTTGAGCGATGTTTCTGTGGAGACCTGAGCAGCTGTGGCACACAAACACTCCCAGCGTGTAGGAAGCCCACTCTGGGTCTGTACAAAAACATACATATCCATACAAAATATGTTTAATAAATACTGTTTTCACCCAAACTTGCTTCATACTGTGAATCTGCTTCACTGCTGGTGTACCAAATCCTCACAATCCCAGTGCGGACACTCTACCACTAGGCCACTGAGCTGGTTAACCTGAGTGGAGTTGTTGTCCAGTGTTTTGTAGATATGGAGGAGGCTCATGGCCCTGCCCTCTGAGTTATTTTGTGGGGGACGCTGTGGGTTTTACGGTCTACTCAGTCCCCGTGCAACTAAAGCAAGAGCTGAGTTCGCATTCTCTGCATTGTTTGTCTCCAAGACAGACTGGACTCCATCAGGGATGTCCTTTGTCTCTGGTCCTATTTGTCGTGTTCATAGATTGTATTTCAAGGGGTGGTCATGACGACGAGGGTGTGATTCTGTTGGTTTCTTCAATCCACGACCTTCCAGTGGGGTGGTTCACGGTCAAGTGTGAAGAGGACCGATGAGTCAGATGCTCTAAATCTCAGGTCGTAGTTCTTGACCACAACCCTCCCTTAGAGGTGCCTGTGGTCAAGTCTCTCACTGGTATCTTGGTGATGGTGGGATACCTGCTGCAAACAGTGTCAGTCAAACTGGGAGACTCCTGGTCGCCTATGTCTGAATGTTTTCTGGTTGTTTCTCATTTGGAAGGATAATATATCGTCTCTGGCTTTTCAGCCACTTTGGAGCCCCCCAGGAGAGGCTGTGGAGTATTAATAGGAGGCAGGTGTCCAAGTTTCCCTCCTGGACCTCTTACATCCATGACCTGACATTGGAGAAGCAGTGCAAAATAAACATCAGGAGCATCTATTAGTAGGTTTGCGGTTTAAGCTTTGCTGTGAGGAGTTTATTTTTAGACTGAATTATAGTTTAATGTAGAAAGAATAATCAGTTTGTAAAAATAAAAGAAGAAAACAGAGGAATCTGTTAATCACACCATGAAGGAAACTAACACAATATTTTTCTTCTTTCATTCGTATCAAAAATGAAAAGGTAATTGTAACTAGACACAGACGTCCTACATGTGCTCTGAGACAGGAAGTGGGTCTCTGTGGCCTCAGCATGCTGCAGCAAAGGGTGAGAGGCAGCACATTACGTTTCTGCATAACTTTCAGAGTCATTTTTCTAATCAGTGGTCACATTTATGCATTTAGAAAGTGAGCCAGGGAACTGAGACAGAATCAATACAGTTTATCTGTGAGCTGCAGCCCATCAACCATGACTGACAGAGCAAAAATGTGCATGAACAAAGAATTCTAATTTCACTTCCTGCAAAGCTGCACACATTCATGCATTTGCAAAGATTAGACCCGTTCGAAGAATAAGATGCATGTGCGTATAGAAATAAACAAAAACATTGTAACTCTATAAAAATGTTAATTCAGACGCGAAAGACCCACGATAAAACATTTGTTTCATCTACACTACTTTTTGTGTCTAAAATCTTAAAAATAACTTTAAAAAAGCAAAGGTCACAAATGTGTTTTCATTGTGCAGATCCGACATGAGTTCATCTAACCTACATAGGTGTAACCGGGGTGTGACGTAACCAACCACACGTCAGTGAGACGCACTTAGTTAGAAAATAATAATTATAAGTCTTTTAGTTCTCTGCTGAGGGAGGATCGTCGTTAATCTGTTGGTTTCACCTGAGATCAGAACGCGAGTGAGATTATGGTCCGTTTACGCAATAAAACTGTCTCGGAGTTTCTAGCTCACCAGAAGCACCGCAGTCCGCACAGGTTCCATTCCCTGGTTTCTCCAGGAGCTCTTTGAGGCGCTGTCTGTTCTTCTCAAGTTCAGATGTCATTATTTAATCCTCTCCTGCTCAGATCCTCAGCTGGAGACGCGCTGGTCTGGCTGTGCGTCGTGGCGCGCCTAAGTAACCAACGATAAACTCATTTTGAGTTGGAAGGAAGCTGAAACCCGGAGCTTGTTGCTCTGGTGTGGATGCTGTCACCGCTGTCAGGAGGATGAAACTGTCAACTCTTTTCTGTTCTGAGAGTGGGACACCTAGTGGTAGCTCGCCACCTACTGGTTAAACTGGGTATCGCGCTTTGAGATGGAGACATAAGAAGCTCCAGCTGGAAAACAAACTCCGGAGTGAACGTTTCTTTATTTTATTTTGTGTGTGTGTGTGTGTGTGTGTGTGTGTGTGTGTGTGTGTGTGTGTGTGTGTGTGTGTGTGTGTGTGTGTGTGTGTGTGTGTGTGTGTGTGTGTGTGTGTGTGTGTGTGTGTGTGTGTGTGTGTGTGTGTGTGTGTGTGTGCTCTGTCTTCTCGATCCCCAGTGAGTCGTGGTGGATGGCTGCTTATACTGAGCCAGGATTCTCTGGAGGTTTCTTCCTGTTAAAAGGGAGTTTTCCTCTCCACTGTCGCTTTATGCTTGCTTAGTAGGATTGCTGTAAATACACTGACACCAGTCAGTGACTCGATGCAACCTGCTGGGTTCCTTATATAGGAAACATTATTTCTGAATGGCTTAATGAACTGACCTGTACTGGAATGTTTATTATGTGAAGTGCCTTGAGACGACTCTTGTCATGATTTGGCGCTATATAAATAAACTTGAATTGAATTGAAAGCTCTTGCTCACTTTTCCCTGAGTCAAATGTTTTCTATTTTCACAGGTTGAATATTTAGAGTTGCATCATTTTCTCTCATTCTCTCACCCGCAAAGAGCCAAATTTAAAGCACAACAGCACTGAGGAACAACAAAGAGAATGGTTATGTAATGACCATTTTGTGACAACCTGAGATTAAGCAAGAGATCTTGTATCATCATCACCAACTGTGTAAACGGAGGTTAAACGTGTAACTGGGCTTAAAAGAAACAAAGCAGGAGTCCATCTCAGTTAATAAACACAAAATGAGACGATCAGTCGTCCAACCTGAATTCGGGCTACCAGAAGTGTTGGCTGTAATAGTCACCTACAGAGAAACAGGATGTCTTCTGATGAGCATGAATAATCTAAATGGGGTTGAGCTGCACAAAATCGTTTTGAGACGATGCTCATATGTCATTCATGGGCCACATTATGTATGACACATTGATAGATACTAAAAGCTCAAACCTCTTAGTACTTGTATTAATAGCTGCATAGATGACTTCTTAAGGAACATGATGTAGTTAGAAGCATATAAAACTAACGGTGACCCTCACATTGTTGCTGGCATTTCATTGTGATGTGATGGAATGGATCTCCACAATAGGTCAGAATGGGTCATGGCACAGAAAACACTCATGTGGCGGTGACGCAAAGATTTCTGCACAACACTGGGAACGAAAACGCTTTTGACACTCCTCGGTCCGAGTACTGGAAATCAAAGGATAAAACAATGATGGTACATCTTAGTGGTGTTTCCCAGTTTTGTATGGATCCTTTTGACCAGTTGATAGCTTTTTTGTTGACAACTTTCTGGGCAAATCACTGATCCAGTTTTGCTTCTTACAAACAATACAGGTAATAGAAATTGCATTCATGCACACAAATGTAAAAAAAATTAGACAATACAAAAAACATTCTATTTTCTAATAACACTTTTCCTGTTCTATCCTTTTTATTATACAGGTGGAATGGAATGAGGTTGTAATGCATAGAATGACCATCGTAGATGATCTACTAATAATCATCAGGCTCCTAATGATCGGCTAATGCTGTCCCCAACATTTATGGGCTCCAAGCTTTCTGCAGCCTGTGAGTCCAACAAAACTGGAAATAGGTCTAGAGGAGTGTTGTTTCAAGGACTTTTTCTGTGATGAATTTCACATGTGGAGGATTGCTGTAAAGTCACTGGCACACTAGTCTTTGACACCAGTCAGTGACTCAATGCTATCTCCTGGCTTCCCTTAGCCTGGCCAGCCAGACAGGCTTCCCTATAAGGATAACATTCAACTGGTTGGTAAAATGACCTAAACTCAGTTGGAATATTTTACTTTGTGGAGTTTGTTGAGATGATTCTTGATTTGGAGCTATACAGTATGTCTGTATTAATTAGTGAGAGACTGATAGATTATTTACATCAGGGCTGATTTTATTTCAGCTTGGCCTGTGTTATGGTAAAAGCTGGGTGTGTTTGCACATGGGCTCAATTGCATGAGTGAGATGTACTTTATTCAGAGTCATGCATTTTACTGTTTCCTTTAAAGTGGAGGTCAAAGTCTACCTACGAAATCCCTCAGACTATGTTCTAATGAATGATTTTGCAATGTTAGCCTTTTGTCCAAATTAGCACTCACTATTCCTGAAATGTTCAGGTTATCCCGTTTGGTATTCGTACCTGCTCAGGACACTGTTGGGTATGGACAGTGGGGTAGAAAGACAGCAGAAAACTGTCCTTCACTGGTTTTTCTTTATTTACATGTTTTTGTTTGTTCTTTTTACAATATAAATGCTTCCAATTGGTAAAATCATTAGACAGCATGGGATAAACTTGCACTGTTATGCTGACGATACTCAGTTATATTTATCCATTAACCCTGATGAACCTAATCAGTTAGTTAGATTACAGGCTTATCTTGAAGACATACAAAATTGGATGACTCAAAACTTTTTGCTTTTAAATCAAGACAAGACTGAAGTTCTCATCTTTGGACATGAAATTCAGAAAAGGAAATTGCTTAGTCAATCACCTGACTTGAATGGCATTGCATTAATCTCCGAGAACAAAGTAAGGAACCTTGGTGTTATCTTTGACCAGGACATGTCATTCAAATCCCAGGTTAAACAGGTTTGTAGGATTTCCTTTTTCCACCTTCAGAATATTGCTAAGATTAGAAGCATCCTTTCCAGGAGTGATGCTGAAAAACTAGTTCATGCATTTATTACATCAATAATGGATTACTGCAATTCATTACTCTCAGGAAGTCCACAGAATGTAGTTAAATGTCTTCAGCTTGTCCAAAATGCTGCAGCTAGAGTTCTGATGAGAATTAAAAAGAGAGATCACATCTCTCCTGTCTTAGCTTCCCTTACACTTGCTACCTGTTATGTGATAAATGACCTGCACTTGTATAGCACCTCTCAGAGTAAGGACTCCAAAGCGCTTTACACTACACTGTATCATTCATCCATTCACACACACATTCACACACTGGTGGTGATGAGCTACGATGTAGCCACAGCTGCCCTGGGGTGCACTGACAGAGGCGAGGCTGCCGAGCACAGGCGCCACCAGTCCCTCCGATCACCACCAGCAGGCAAGGTGGGTTAGGTGTCTTGCCCAAGGACACAACAGCAGAATTCTCTGTCCGGAGCCGGGATCAAACCTGCAACCGTCCAATTACTGGACAATCCGCTCAACCTGCTGCCCTAAATACTAGTTTACCCGTTTAATTATAGATCCACTAGGATAAATGCAATAAAGTTTATCTCTCACCAAATAGAATATTTACTAAGAAATCACAATGTAACCATAGAAACACTACTTGGTATATATGTTGTGTGTGTGGATGTGTGTTTGGGTGGGTTGATGTTGGTGTATGCGTGTGTGTGCTCTGTCTTCTCGATCCCCAGTGAGTCGTGAAGGATGGCTGCTTATACTGAGCCAGGATCCTCTGGAGGTTTCTTCCTGTTAAAAGGGAGTTTTCCTCTCCACTGTTGCTGCATGCTTGGTTAGTATGAGGATTGCATCAAGTCACTGACACTAGTCAGTGACTTGATGCAATCTGCTGGGTTCCTTATATAGGAAACATTTTACTGATTGGCTTAATGAACTGACCTGTATTGGAATGTTTATTATGTGAAATGCCTTGAGACGACTCTTGTCATGATTTGGCACTTTGTAAATAAACTTGAATTGAAGTTACTGTTGGATTTGTAAAAGTATAAATGTCGTAATACGGTAATTGGTCAAATGGCCTGTATTTAGTAGCACCTTAGAATCCTGGAACCCCTCAAAGCGCTTTACAACACAATCATTCACCCATCCACACACACATTCACACCCTGGTGATGATGAGCTCCAGTGTAGCCACAGCTGCCCTGGGGCACACTGACAGAGGTGAGTCTGCCGTACGCAGGCACCACCGCTCCCTCCGAGCACCATCAGCAGGCAAGGGGGGTTAAATGTCTTGCCCAAGGACACGACAGCGACAGACTGAGCGGAACTTAAACCTGCAACCTTCTGATTATGGGGCAAGCAGTTGACTGCTGTGCCACCGTCGTCCATACGGGGCTTTCACTTTTTTTTTACGATACGTAAGTTTACAGTGTAAGTTACTGCTAATCTAAACACCTTATTGTAATTAGAATTAATTTGTTTTGAAACATCAATTAGAAAAAAAATCTCATTTTTAAAATAAGAGAAATTCTTGTTTGTGAGCACATACTTAATATTATTATGCATGAGTGACAGCAAATGGGCTCAGTACTTACCTTCAGCAACAGAATATACATGCAAATACGATAAAAAAAAAGCCTTTGATGTGAATGCAGCGTAACAAATACATCTATGAGGATTTGATTAATAAATTGTGCACACTTTAGTCCGTTTGTTGAGAACATCTAAATTTTAACGTGTCAGCAAAAAACTGACGTCTTAACTGTGACTGAACAAAAGCCGCCTGCACTTTGCTCACTGCCATTGTGGCTTTCTAGTGTCCGTCTTTCTGAGAACGAACGCATCTCCTCATAGTGAACTGAACATGAAACATTTGTACTCGAGTGACAAAACCTTAGGTAAGATGTACAATTAGTGTCATAAATAAGAGATAGTCTCTCATAGTAATGAGATGCCATTGTAGTTTCTATGCAAGTTCACAAATAGAAAGATCGATGTAAAATATGAACTTTTATTTAACAGTAAGTCACCTTAGAGCTGCTGAGACAAGAAGTTTAACTCGAACATTCAGAAATTCTGTTTCTGCATCTTTATTTTTTAAAAGTTAAAAGGACGTAATACAAGGTAAAAGGAAACAAAATGTTTGTAGATCCCGGTAGAGGCAACATAAAACTAAGCTAACTTTTCTGAATCAACTTAGCACAAAATTTAAGAAAAAATCAAATGGAACAGAAGCACTCTTGCTATGACCGCACATACAGCGTAGATGATGGCATTTCTACTGAGTCAAAGGAGTCTTAGAAAACGAGGGTTGTAGCTGATCAGCATCACAGCGTAGAAAACCACATGACATCTCAATGAGTTTATCTGGAGGAGTTGGAGCTGGAGCGAGAGCGATGGCGCCGGCGACCAGGAGACCTGGAGCGGGAACGGCGACGTGCCGGGGATCGTCTCCTTGGAGAACGAGACCTGAAACAACAAAAACGGCATTATTACCTGTACACGTGTGTGTGTTTATGGCTGAAACTGTCTGTAGGCGATACCTCCTCCTCATGCGTGGTGGGCTGCGCCGCCACATAGGAGGTGGTGGGGGCATTCTGCGAGGAGGAGACAGTCTGCGAGGTGGTAGACGGATCCGTTGAGGCAGAACAGCAGCAGCTGTGATTTCCTGTCCATCAATCTGACCTGTTTTTATAATAGTCATAAAAAATAATCAACACACAGAAAAGACCCCCAGTGTTCCTGAGACCCAGAGGCTGTTAAATTGAACATGCACACCAACCTCCGTCCATGTGTTTAAGGGCCTTCTGTGCCTCCTCAGGGGTCTCAAACTCCACATAAGCATGGCCCTTGCTCAGGTGTGGGTGCATCCTATCCATCTGCATGTCAATCATTTTGATTTTTCCATAAGTGGAAAAGATCTCCTGGATGTGATCCTGGTACAACAGAAATAGAAAGGTCAGATATTCTCTCAACTTTGACACAAAATTATCTTGATGCCAAACAAATGAAACAAACTCTTTATTTTCTCCTTTTTGTTTTGAGCAGAGCATTGCTGATGACTAACACACCCGATGTACACAAGAAAATCTTCTCAGATTTTATCTTTAATTACTACACATTAAGGATGTGCGTGGCTGTTCTTGTGCACTTACATAACCTTGAGATTGCATCATAGTCTCAAATAAAAGCAGACATGATGAGAAAGCAGATGTTCTTCATTTAAGCTAACCTTGGTAACGTTTCTGGTCAGCCTTCCTAAGTGAACCTTAGTGGGTTTGACAATCGGGCTTCGTTTCCTTCGCTCTTTGTCCTCTCCTCTCTTCTGTGTTTTAGACCTGAAAAATCAGAAAGCAGTAAATAAATAACTAGAAACCAAAAGTCATCGTAAACACTGAGACACGAACAAAGACTTACGGTGATCGGGAGCGCCGGCGGTTGTCATGGCGCCTGCGGCTGGGGCTCGGCGAGCCAGAGGAGCTGGAGGAGGATGACGATCGAGAGCTGGACGATCCAGATCGACTGGTGCCAGAAGAGCTGGATCCACTCGAGGAACCTGAGCTAGAACCAGAGCTGCTGCTGGATGATGAGCTAGATCTGGATCCGGTCACAATCAGAACAAATGAAATGGTTTGTTAGGAATTTTTAGCACAGATTTCTCTAGTGATATAACAAATGAGAAGGAACTCAGACCTGCTGCTGCTGCTGCTTCCAGAAGAGGCACTACGACGTTTCCTTACTTTGTCACGTCCTCTCTCTTTGTCTCCTTCCTTGGTGGCAGTCTTCTCTTTGCCCCTATCTTTAGATTTTTCTTCCTCCTTCCTTTTCGTAGGAGATGGTGCCCTAAAGTGATGTAAACATCTGTTAGTTTAGTTGTTTTACACAAATGGATTTAACAAATCTAAGAGCTACAAATTGTGGGAATGTTCAAATTCATGCAGAATTCAAATCTGGGTCTAATCTGTAATCTCAACAAGCTGAAAATGAAACCCAAAAAGTGTATTTTGTGTTTTCTGTCAGTTAAAATGAAACACAAATCAACATTTTAACTGTTGTGTTTAATCTTTAATGCTAAGGAATATTTCTTTAGTGTGATGCACTACCATTACTGTGGAATTAACACAGAACGCTAAGTTGTTATTCCAGCTGTTAAAACAACAGACTAGTCAATAAACTTCTGTCTCTTTGTTTAGAATAATTAAACCCCAGTAGGTTTATTTCCTTTTGTGCAACAAAGATTTTTATAATTTTATTTTCTTGAACATTTATCAAAACTACACTGATGTCTCAATTTTAAAATAAAGCCATTAATGTAAAAGCAACTGATAAAAAAAACTAATAACGTTTTTCTCCTAATATTACACAACTTATCTGGCACCAAAAATTCAAGCCGTAAGCTAGCTGAAAGAGACTAAACACGATATACATGATTTATAACTGAAATAAAAAAAAACAATCCACATCACACATAGTTTAGGGAGCACCAAATGTCTGCTGGAAATCGTAAACATTTGTTATGTTATTATAGGAAAAAGCAGCACTCAGGCAGAAATCCGCCGCCATCGAGTTTCATTCAGCCCGCTGCCTCTAAACAAGGAGAGCTCCGACCATGCCGTTAACCGATCACTCAGCTCTTCACGCAACAAGCACACGACGGTAAAACACGCCTGGGTTTTCAGAGTTGATTAACTAAGCATCACAACTAAAAACGGACAGTTTTAAGCCAGGAAAGAGCTCAAACCTACATTTTTTATGGACGATGTAGCTCTGCTTCCACCACTTGCGGCCTGTTCGCTTGTCGACGGTTGATGACGCCAGCGGAAGTTGCGTTCCTGCTTGAGCGCCACTTACAACTCATTTGTTTATTTTACGACGTTGACGGTGAAATATCAGCTTGCATTTCCGACATCTCTGTAGAAACACAGACGGACGCGCTTTTGGATATGAAATGAGTTTGTCAAGTTTGAAACGGTGGTGGGGCTTCGCTGTTGTTGACAGAGAGAGAGAGGTACATTAATGACAGATGTTGTTGACAGCTAGCTCAGCTAGCATCTGTTTTCCTGTGGATATGTGTCCAATGTTGACATGTAGATGCGGTTTGAGCTGTTGCGTTGCTGTAGCGCATTACGCGTTAGGACAATGTTAACAGCTGTCTTTAAGAAGACACAGATCACAGCCATTGACGGACTGCATCAATAAATTCATATGTATCTGTTTTCATTGTGAAATGGAAGTTTTGGGGCTTGGTTTGTGTTTTGAAACGTTCACCGTTTGGATTTCTTTTTTAAGGATTCCGGAGTAAAAAGGTGAAATGATCATGCATCATGCCTGTAATTTCACCATGGTTTAACCAGGATTTATTAAGTGAGCTCATATCCACATGCGTGAAACAGCCCCATGCTTGTTTTATAAAAGATTAATTATTTGGTCTCCTGATTACTTGAGTTGATTATTTGTACCTGTCAAATAACCATGTTTAACTGAGGCATTAATGGTCCATCTATTTTCAAGAAACTCCTGAAGACCCTGCTCTTCAGAGAGCATCTTCTAAACTAGCACCCTGCACCCATCCCCCTCTCTACTGTCCACTCCTTGTTCTCCATGATTCATCATGCTGCCTCACTGCCACCAACGACTGACTGGAAATTGTTTGTTGTTGTTACTGTTGTTGTTAGCCTCAAGGGCAACATGCTGATTATCACTTGTAAGTCACTTTGGACTAAAGCGTCTGCAAAATACATAAACATCTATCTATTTAAATGGATGATTAAAAAATATTTAACCTGAGGTTTTGTTGCAGCCATGTGACTGGATGCTACATACGGTATGTTGATTATACATGTTCATTTCTGAATCAAGTGTGAGCTGAAAGTAGATTTTTATTTGCAGAAACATTATTTCATTTAAAAAAACTTCACTTTTCCTAAAATCTGGTTTCAATACCTGCACAGCCCTAAAACCTACATTTATGTCCCATTCACTTGTGCTTGAGATCATGAAGTAAAACGTGTGTGTAGATATGCTGATGAAGGTTCTCAGTCAACCAGGTCATGGTAACCCAAAGGGTTCAGATGAAGGCAACTGGACTTCTTTAGTTTCTTGAAGACAATTCGCTTCTCATCTGAGGAGCTTTGTCAATTCTAACTGGAATATGGGAGAGTCAAGCTGTCTATTGTTATTTAACGAGCCAAAACTACTCTGGGTACCCGCTTCTCCATCCCTTGATGAGTCGTCAGCCTCTATTGAGAGGGAGTTGTGTTGATTAGATGCAGAAAGGTGTGACCTAGACTGAAACTGCTAGGAGACTCCAAAATTGCAGATACCCTAACTGGGCCTTTGTGAAATATACAAAGAAGTCTGGAAAAGCATCCAAAGCAGCAACCAGCAAAGAAAAGGCCAACAGGCGCAAAGGCACCATCATCCCATACGTGGCAGGAAACTCAGAGAGACTTAATCTTCTCCAAACACAACATCCTGGTAAACTTTAAACCCAACAACACCCTCAGACAGAAGCTGGTTCATCCAGAAGACAAAACACCCAAACAGAAGCTCAGTGGTGTTGTTTATGCAGTCCAGTGTAGTGAGGACTGTCCAGACCTTTACATCAGGGAAACTTAAGAACAATTACACAAGAACACGGCACAACACAGGAGAGCCACCTCTTCAGGCCAAGACTCTCACCTGAAGGACAAGGGACACACCTTTGAAAAGGACAAAGTACACTAGGGCTGCAGGATATTAAGAAAACCTGCGATATGCGATTACATTACGATGACGATATTACTTGCGATAAATAAAAACTTAACTCAGGAACAAAAATAATCACAACACAATCAGTCATTCACAAGCTGGTGGGGATGAGCTATGATGTAGCCACAGCTGCCCTGGGGCGCACTGACAGACTGTAACTAAATAAATACATTTTTCTGAAATTTCTACTGAAATTTCTAATTTAGTCTATTTTTATTTTATCACTGTATTCAGATTAATACGCATATCGGGTGAAATGTAGACTGAGACAAAACTGCTTGTTTGATCTCAGACCCAATGACACCAGAGATATAAATGACATAAATTACCCGCACTTGTGTAGCGCCTTTCAGAGTCAGAGGACTCCAAAGCGCTTTACACTGCAGCCTATCATTCATCCATTCACACACACTGATGGTGATGAGCTACGATGTAGCCACAACTGCCCTGAGGCGCACTGATTGAGGCGAGGCTGCCGAGCCATTAACAAATAACACACACAGGCTCACAATGGCATTGTGACATCATAACGTGTCAGCTAACATTATAGTGTACCTCTTAACCAATAGAATAGAATAGAATAGCCTTTGTGGCCGTTGTACAAGGTACAGCGAAATTGGAGTGCCACTCCCTTTGGTGCAAAATGTAAAAGAACACAAGAAAATCATACAGAATAAAATAAATGTAAAATCAACAGTAATATTTACAATATATACACAGAGTAGCAGCATTTATGATGTAGCAGCATTAGTTGGGTTCTGTGCAGGTCACTATTGTAAGCAGAATTTTAGCATATTGAGTAAACACAAATAACATATAAATGTTATTGCACATGATCAGTATTGAAACAGTAAGTGTGTAGTTCGGGTTTACAGGATCATCTGGTTTTGTGGTTGTTAACTACGGTGATAGCTATCCCTGAATCTATTTGTCCTGGTTTTATGTGATCTATCGGTCTGACGGTAACAGGACAAACAGATGGTTACTGAGGTGAGTATAGTCCTTGGTGGTAGTGCCTGCTCTACTGGGGTAACGAGAGTTGCCAATGTCCTCCAGGCTGGGCAGAGAGCAGCCAGTGAGCTGGGCTGTGTTGATGACCCTTTGCAGTACTTTCCTGTCTGCAGCTGAGCACCCTGCATACCCAATAGCAACGGCAGATTTAAATTCAAATGCAGTGCAGAGTTTTTAATGAAAGACAGTTTTAGGCAGAATATTTAAATTTTCACTAAGATGCACTATAGGTGGGAAAAATGACAGATTCTAAGATGCATCGCGATTCAGCCGTGCATGATTCCGCATCAATGCAGCAACGTGACATAATGAGATTTTCTCCCTATGTCTATGCGAGGACAATAAAGTTTTGAGGTTTTATAATTACTTCTGGGGGCAGAGTTGCAATGACATGTGCACCGCGTTGCCCTAGTGCCAATTTAAAACAGAAAAGGTGGACAGGTATACAGGGCGAACATTACCAGTAATCAAAGATGTACCCGTTACATTTAAATCGGATGTCTGGGCTAATTTCGGTTTTGGGATCCTGGATGTGAAATAATCACTTAACACAGTATTTGTTTACTATGTTTAAGTTCAGTAATATTCTATCTTAAAGCTGCTCTACCGAAAACATTATTTCTTATATTATTTAAGTAATTGTAGCCAGCACACTTTAAACATTATTGCTTACTATAGTGAATAGATGAATGTTCTGTTTTTCAGGGATTTCGAAATCAAAAAGAAATTGAAAACTATTCTACTGCTTTTATTAAGTAATGAAAATTTTTGTGTGAAGAACCAGTGATGCATTTCAGACTCAAATTGAATCTTTAGGCAGATAATCGGAATCGGAATTGGATCGAATCGTGAGGCAGGTAGAGATGCACACCACTAAGATGCACTAAATTGCCAAATTATTGACCACACATGTCTACAGCACCGTTAGAGACTCGCTTATTTGGTTTATCAGCAAAAACAGCTGATTTGGGGTGATTTGCTCTTTAATTTAAAAAAAAAGAACACTAATGTTTTCCTTCTGAAAAACATCAGCTATTAGTAACTATTAATTTTCTTAACCTTCTACAGATTCACGTTTGAACTCAGAGTGACTTTGGAGTGAACGAGCATGGGCCGGCTAGATGATGCTGCCAAACACAAAGTAGTGGAGCTGCGGAAAGCCGGTCTTAGTTTTCGTAAGATCAAAGCTGTGCTGGAACTGGAGAACATCAAGGTTTCTGCTCAGGCCATCTACTTGTACCTGAGGGAGCTTCAAGGAAGGCCACCAGGGAGGGTGAAGCCTGTAGAGGCTGGAAGCAACACACTGGCACCACGAGTGCAGGCCCGAACCAGCGCGTTACGAGAGAGCTGGAGCAACATTCATCTTCAGAACCTCATACGGGACGCATCTCAGCATGCCGAGTTTGGAGCTCCAGACGACTATTCCAAACAGGTGTCCACAAATTCAGAGACTAGTGCTAATCCATCCTCATCTGGGGAGACTAGTGGAAACAGCAGACCAGAGCGGCAACATGAGCAGAGCAAGGAAGAGAACGACATCCAGATTATTAGTGTCACTTCTCTCGCACAGCGCAGCCAGCCAACAATTACCCAGTCAGCCATAACAAGGACAGAAACCGGTCCTTTGTCTTCCACGCTTTCAGCTTCAGGAGCGTTGATGAGGAGGAGAGTCACACCTTCTCCTGCCACCAACTCGATGTTGGCGGCTCGAAAAAGACTCCTGGATAAAGCTTTGTCACACAAGACCAAGGTAACTGCTGAGACATCATTTATGTAAACTTAGTTCAAAGATAGTCATTTTAACATGTATGCATTGCTGTAAACAGTCCTTCCAGCAGGTGGCGTCATTGCTGAGGAGAGATCACTCCGGTGGCCAGAGCTCTGATTTAGGCAGCACTCTCACACAGCAGCCTCAAAGCTACAGCCTGACAACAGAAAAGGTGAGGTTGTGAAAACCTTTACTGGTTAAATGTCACGCACACTACAACCCACGGCAAAGTCGTTTTGTAGACTTATTTGCTCATTGAATTTGAAATTAAAAGTGTTACATGTTGCAGACTGTTCACGAGGGCCAGCCTGGAGGTAACGGTGCCCCCCGGCGCTTCCCCACTCAGAGACCAGGACCGAGTATTCGCTCCCTTCAGCCCCTCCCTCGTGTCGGGATTCATCTTCCTAACCGCCCGCTGGTGACTTTGGCAGCCTCAGCACCTGGGACTGTTCTTCGACTGCAGTCCCCTAGGAGTCCGGGTGTGACGCACAGCGAGGGGAATCCGAGCTCACAGCAGGCAGCCCAGGATGCCAGAGGTAGAGGTACTTTACAGGACCAGATCCACACTCTGGGCTCCGAGGTGCGGAGTCTGGCCCTGGCAGTGAAGATGCTTGTGGAGCAGCAATGTCGTCTAGAGAGGGAGCAGTCGCAGCAGACACAGATTCAGAAGCAGATCCTCAGCACTCTACAAACCCTTGCTTCCAAAACAGGATACTGTAACAGTGTTCAGCGACCGCTCAACAAAACCCCCTCACCCTCCTCGCTGCCAGCAGCCTCTGTCTCTACCTCTTTTAGTCCAAACACCTTCAGTTTCACTCAAGGCGCGTACACCCAGTGCAGCCAAACTCAGCCGAGCTATAACTCTTTAGGAAGTTTAGAAAACGTGGAGGCCTTTAAAGTGCCAGGACTCAGCCCAACAAACATGAATGGGTTTCCGCCGTGCAGCAGTGCAGAGAGCCTTCCTCTCACTCACACTTCCCCTCAAACATATGCAGCTGCATACTCACAGCAAACCAATCAGACACTCGTGCCGCCTTACACACAGTCGTACGTCTCGTCCTACAACCAGCCACACACTCAGACCTTCAGACCTCCAGAGACTAAGACGTCTGATTTCTCAAGCAGCTGTTCAGCGAGGACTTTTCCCGACTGCAGCATGTCTACACAGCAGGTCACGACCTCTAACCTCTCCTCTCACGATCAGCAGGTCAATAACATCAAAGTGGAAGGACCTTAAGTCACGGTTCGGTAACCTTTAGGGCACTGCTGTGATTGTCTTTACACTACTGTAGCATTTGAGACACGTTCTTTAAACCTTATGTAGCCTTTTTTTCATTATTTGTTTTCCAAAGATCGTTTTCAAAGAAAACAGCAATAGAATAACCAGATCACCACGTTTTCCTTATTGTGTAATAATTTCTTTTTAACAGATTTTTAAAACTTAAAAGCGTTTTCAGTTTTTCTTGTACATTTTTGTATTCAATTGTCTTAAGTCAGCAGTATATCTGACGTGAACTGTTCATATTCAAAACAGCGTGAGCGGAATAAAAAACTAGCTGAATTTGACTCAAGTGTCTTTAAATAGTGTGTACGTGCGTGCGTGCATGTCTCTTCAGACCCACCTGAGCAGGTTACCATCCAGAGGAAGACCTCTGGGTCCTGGAGGATCTCCCCTGTTGTCACAGCTGAGGATGTAGAGAGAGATGGAGTCTGCCAAGTATGATTCAGTTTCAAGGAGGGAAACACGCAAATTAGAAAAGCAACACTTTCACAGTCCAGTTCTGCTGAAATGAAAGATCTACCCCCTCTCATTGTTGATTTCTGCATAGATCTGCAGAGCTCCCCCTAAAGAGATGTGAGCATTCGCACAGTTACTAAAACCAGCAAGCAGAAGACAAACGTTTCAAACATCCTTGTGGATTTAATGAGCAACAAGATGAAGTAGCCCTGGAAAGTGTTGGGCTACCTCAAATCTACATTCTCAGTTTTCTATGCATTATGTTGTTTATACATGTTTTAAGTTAATGTCATATTATTGTTTTTGTGTAGCCTACTTTATTAAGGTTTTATTTTGATCATTTTGAAGTTAAAATCAAAAGCTATGGAGGATTTCTATATTTAGATAATAAATCCTGCTTTTGGGAAGAAGTAACGGCTTTAAAGATGTTTTATCCCCAAAATGTATTTTAGACCGCAGACTTGTAAATATTAGGTTGTTCCTTTGAATAGATGCATATTCACGAGGTGAGAAAATGTATTTTTAAGTCTATCAACTGATTTTCATTGGCATTTGTCAGTTTATCAATTATCTTATGTGTGCTGAGTTATTTGACTCAACTACTAATTGTTGCTATAAGCTGTAGCGTACCAAAGGCCAACTATTAGATTATTTGTCCACTATAAGGTCAGAGGTCATCTCACAGAAGTATCCAGGCTGGTCCACCTGCCCAGAGTATTGTGTGACACATCTTAACTGTACTGGTCTCCAAACCAGTAAACTAACTGCTCTACAACCTTGTTGCCAAGAAGGGAAGCCATAATAAACCCTTCTCCTGATTCCCTTTATCTTAGCTGAAACCAATGGTCTCCTAGCCTGGCAAGCCAGACTAAATAAATGTATTATTTAGTCGCAACGCTCCATTGACGGCTCTCGGTTGTGGGGCGGGTTCTACCGTTGTCTTTCAAATGATCTCCGCATTCCACTGGACAATGAATGTGACATACTCGTGTTTCACTCTGTTGCATCATCCCACCCACAAGGCACATAGAGTGCCCTGATTGGCCCACAAAGCGGATAAAGCTCTGTGATTTTTTCACTAAGCAGATAGAGCACTATGATTGGCCCACCATTATGGACCAATCACAGCTCTTTATGTGTTTGAAACCCCTCTAGAGAGCTGTGATTGGCCAGCCAGAATGCTGTTGGGGCTGCAGAGGTTCCAGTGGAGCATTCCTAGACCAGGCTAATGTACATGTCCCTTTAGGGGCTCCGTAATTTTCCACCCTGATTTACAAATAAATTCTTTAAAAATCCTGCCACGTGAATTCATGGATTTTTTTCACATTCTGTCTCTCACAGTTGAAGTGTACCTATGATGAAAATTACTGACCTCTGTCATTTTAAGTGGGAGAACTTGCACAATCGGTGGCTGACTAAATACTTTTTTGCCCCACTGTATCAGGCGTGACATTTAAAGCAGACGCTTTGATGCTCCACCTGAGAGTAAATCTGTAAGGCTTGTTACCAGCATTCAGACATCAATTCTGTTTGCTTCACAGCCAGACAGGACACGGCAATAAAAAAAAATAAAGAGAGAAATAGAAGACTTAGATAAATACCGCTAGATATGGGATAAATCAACAAGGTACCTAATCCACTTATAACTAAATGGACATTCATCCTAACAGTAATCTCATTAATCATGTAAATGCTCAACAATACTGAAAATTCACAAAAAAAAAAGATTTTGCATGAACTAAAACAAGATATTGATCCAGATAATAAATTTTTTGATCATCTAAACAATAGTTGCTTCTATTATATGGATGATCAGTTCAACAGTATACTTACCCCTGAGTAAGGTTTATCTATTATCCATTTTAACAGTAGAAGCCTATGCTAATCATGAAAATATTACAGAGTATTTAAAACAGTTCAAAAAACCATTTGATGTCACAGCTCTATCAGATACCTGGTTGAAACCTGAAAAAGGAATAGATTTTGATTTGGATGGATATATATTCAATTATATGAACAGGAAAAACAAGGTGGGAGGAGGGGTTGCGCTGTACATAAACAATACTCTTTGTTGTAGAGTGGTGGAAAAGATGACATTCACAATTGTTGATGTTATGGAATGTATAACTGTGGAGATAAATATGGAAAAACATAAAAATGTGATAGTGAGTTGTGTGTACAGGGCACCAGGATCTTGTACTGACATTTTTATGAGTAATATGGAAAAGATATTAGCTCAAAATAATCAGAAGGTCATGTTCCTCAGTGGAGACTTTAATACAGATCTGTTGAACTCAAACAAACACAAAATGACAGAGGAATTTATAAATACAATGCTCAGTAACAGTTTTTATCCATTGATCACAAAACCCAGTAGAATAACTAAGCATAGATCTACTTTAATTGACAATATATTTACCAACAATATGGAAAGCACATGAATCAGTGGACTAATGATAAATGACATCAGTGACCATTTGCCAGTGTTTGCAATCTGTGATTGTGAGTGTGAAAGGATAACGAAGACATACCAAAGGAAACAAGGCCGGATTAACCATATGGGCAACTGGGCAATTGCCCAGGGCCCACGAACTCTAAGGGGCCCAGGGCAGCAAGCACACGAGCAAAATACTGTAGGCATGTCTGTAATCTCCCGCATTATATTAAACTAGGGTGACCGTATGTCCGGTTTTCCCCGGACATGTCCACTTTTCACTCTCTGTCCGGGCGTCCGGACTGGGGGTCCGCGGTCGTATTGATGAAAATGTCCGGCTTTTCATCCAGGAGCAGGGATCGAATTATGGGGGAGTTGGATATCTTACACATCCAGGGGAGCCGGAAACAACTTTTCTATCTATATTACATCATTTATTGACTCTTCTGAGCAGAGAGCACAGAGAGCGGCACAGCGCGTTCTTGCGCAGCGCTCCAGGCAGCTGCTTCCAGCGCACGGTCCATTCTCAAAGTGGCGCAACCAAAAAACTATAATTAGCACACGATCATTCATGTCCGCACATGTTCTCTATTTTCTGTCTTATTTGTGTCTGAAGCGCTCTGCCAGTGGCGGTTCTACATCGAATTACTCCCCGGGCGAGGCCCCCTTTGAGCGCCCCCCCCCCCCCCCAACCGCCCCCCCACCACCACCACCACACCACCCCACCTGCACGAACACACGCATGTTTTCTACAAACAGGCATGTTTTATTAGAACGACTATTGAACATTCATTTTTCTAAGTTGCACACATTTACATTAATTACTATGAAGTTGTCAGAATGTAAAGCACTGTACATTATATACTGTATCAAAATATATAGAATCAAATATACAAAAACAAACAATAACTAAATATTAAGAATATATGAACATAATAGATAATAAATATTCTAAATAGCACAAATATTTCACACATAACAAACTAAAGATAATCACTACAGCATTGCACTTAGAACAGAAAACACAAACTAAAATTAAAACCTAACCTTGATGCAACGTCATCAATAATGTCATCACATGAAATCTGCTCCCCTACTGAGTGATTGATACTAATCAGAGCCAGGTTAGTGAGCCGCCCCTGAAACATAGGTGACCTCAGGTATGACTTGATCAAGTTTTGAAAAGCTCCTCTCAGCTTGAGCCACAGTGACTGGCAGAGCAGTCCAAAAGTTGGGGTAGATCTCCAATAGATCTCATGATCCATAATATTTTAGAATTGCCTCTGAAATTGTAATTTAAACTGACATAAAAACCTGTAGACTACCAAAAATGCCAACTTTTACAGAACAAATCATGTAAAAATAATCAGTGCAGCCATCTGCAATAAATAAACAGGATAGTTAGTGGTGACTGGGGTGTTTTCTTCTGCTTGTAGAGTTGTTTTATTTATTATTATGTGAACATGATCAACTTGTTTGTTGTTCAGGCAGGCCACAGGCTGCAGCGAGCATTTAACAAATCCTATTTTGAATCAGTAAAAAACGATTCAAGGACTTTTTTCGAACCATTTGAATATTCGTTTCAATATTTCAGCCCTATTAGCTCTGTTAGCAATTAGTTGACCGCATTTAACCGTTAAACATGCATCATGCAACATGCATCATGAGAGCTTACATACCTTTATCTTTCTCCTCTTTTTTCTTTTTTTCCCCCTGAATGGGGAACCTGGTGGTTTTAGCCTTTTTATGTTCATCTCTTCTGTTTGGCTCCTGACTCAGTAAGTTTCCTTTAGTCAGGACTAAACTATTTGACCTTGATGGGGGTGTGACCACAAAATCGTTTTGTTTTTCCTTTTTTTATTCGGCCATTTCACACAATTCAGAGAAACCTGAAAGAATGATAGGCCTGTGTTTATGATATTATGAATGAAATATGGAAGAACGTTAAGATGTGATTGACTTTAACCATGTTAATACAGTTGATTCAGCCCCTGCACGCTCATTTTGCGCTCATTTCATTTGGGAAAGACGCAGAGGTGAATTCCCCCGCCGCACCCCTCCCCTTCCTGTTCTTCATAGACACACGGTGCACGTGAACGTTCTCAGTCAGCAGGAGCGCCTGCAGCTGCAGGGGGCGCCAACTTGCTGTTTCCAATCCAGACACTGTCATATGACAGATAATAGAAAACCTCAGTGCGGCGCAGATTTCCTTTTTTTCTTCTTTTTTTTCTCAGCGCTTGTGCGCCCCTTTTGTGTCATGAAAAAATGCCGCCCCGGGCAATTGCCCTGTCTGCCCGTGCCTAAAACCGCTACTGCGCTCTGCTGCTGCGCAGCTCATCACCTGTGCTGCGCGGTGCTGCAGTGATTTCACCTCACTGATGCAGCAACGAAAGGCGCACTCCCCTTTGCGGTCAGGAGATCCCTTTGATCTGCTCAAAAGTAACTGATGAGGTGAAAAAGTAAGAATCCAGGCAGCAGTTTTTTCTGGAGAGTTTAGAGGAGACGCAGGAAGATGAGAGACAGACAGGGCAGGAAAATAGTTAAATAAAAACAAGAAAACAAAACAAAGTGTTGAAAAGTAAAATGTAGGTAGATTTATCTCCACTACACGTTTTTACCTGTATAAAACAATAAGTTATACACATGTCATATTTACACATGTGATACAATTCAGATCACCTTCAAAACTCAGTCACACACCCAGGGCCGTTTCAAGACATTTTGGGGGCCAAGGCAAAATGACCCCCCCCCGGACCCCCCCCCCCAACCCACCCCATAACGGGGCTCCCCAGAAGCCTCTGTGTAATTCATACCCTCTCCAGGAGTGTTAGTTATACGGTGTTTATAAAAGCCCCTCAGACATTACTGACATGTTCTAATATTATCAGATGAAGAACTAAATTATCAGACATGCTGTCTCATCTGCTTCTTTTCTAAACTTGCAAAAAGTAACAAAACCATTTGAAAGCCACTATTTGTGGATTCTCTGAAAGTTTCCATGGAGTGTGTGACAACTTATTTTTTCATTGATCCTATCGTCTAATCTCACAGCTGAAACAATCATCCTTAATAATCCGTGCACAGGAAGCGTACCGATGCTGAAGTAAAACAAAAGGTATAATAATTTATTATTAATAAAATCTTGTTGCAGCACTAAAGCAGAAAAATGAGATTTTGCAATACATATGCTAAATATTTACATATGAATTGTTTTAGAGCCCTTTTATTGGCAGAATCTGATATTAATTTAGTTCTTACAAAAAAATGGGTCCCAGCGTGGTTTGTGTGGCGTTGCCATAGTGTGACATCATAGGCACAGATTCCCTGTCCTCTTGTTTGGAAATGGAAATATGATCACCCTATATTAAACAAACTGCCCACCCGGGCTTTTGCGCTGCACAGAGACGCTTCGCTGCCTATGACTTTGAACGTCAGTTGAGAGTCAGTCTCATGCAGACTGACCAATGAAGAGAGGGCCTCAAGTTAAGACCCTCTCCTCATTGGTCAGTACACACAAGGTGGGTCAAAGGTTACCCTGAGCGGGTTACGTGATGTCAGGCATTCAAGCATTGAGTATATTTACTGCATATTACAGTAAAATATTCTGTATGTGACCATATTATGGTGATCCTTGGGTCGTGATGATGGGGCCCTTGAATACTGTTGCCCAGGGTACAACGAAGTCTTAATCTGGCCCTGAAAGGAAATATATCAGACTGAAAACAGAAGAATCGATCGAAGCATTCAACAGTGATTTGCAAGCTCAAACCTGGTCACAACTGTATAATGAAACTAATGTCGACAGGGCATATGAATACTTCCTTAATGTATTTAAGTCTCTTTATGATAAACATTGTCCAAT